CTATAGACTAGACTATAGACTAGGACTAAGACTATACTATAGACTAGACTATAGACTAGACTATAGACTAGACTATAGACTAGACTATAGACTAGACTATAGACTAGACTATAGACTAGACTATAGACTAGACTATAGACTAGACTATAGACTAGACTAGACTATAGACTAGACTATAGACTAGACTATAGACTAGACTATAGACTAGACTATAGACTAGACTATAGACTAGACTATAGACTAGACTATAGACTAGACTATAGACTAGACTATAGACTAGACTATAGACTAGACTATAGACTAGACTATAGACTAGACTATAGACTAGACTATAGACTAGATTATAGACTAGACTATAGACTAGACTATAGACTAGACTATAGACTAGACTATAGACTAGACTATAGACTAGACTATAGACTAGACTATAGACTAGATTATAGACTAGACTATAGACTAGACTATAGACTAGACTATAGACTAGACTATAGACTAGACTATAGACTAGACTATAGACTAGACTATAGACTAGACTATAGACTAGACTATAGACTAGACTATAGACTAGACTATAGACTAGACTATAGACTAGACTATAGACTAGACTATAGACTAGACTATAGACTAGACTATAGACTAGACTATAGACTAGACTATAGACTAGACTATAGACTAGACTATAGACTAGACTATAGACTAGACTATAGACTATACTATAAACTAGACTACAGACTAGACTATAGACTAGACTATAGACTAGACTATCGACTAGACTATAGACTAGACTATAGACTAGACTATGGACTAGACTATAGACTAGACTATAGACTAGAATATAGACTAGACTATAGACTAGACTATAGACTAGACTATAGACTAGACTATAGACTAGACTATAGACTAGACTATAGACTAGACTATAGACTAGACTATAGACTAGACTATAGACTAGACTATAGACTAGACTATAGACTAGACTATAGACTAGACTATAGACTAGATTATAGACTAGACTATAGACTAGACTATAGACTAGACTATAGACTAGACTATAGACTAGACTATAGACTAGACTATAGACTAGACTATAGACTAGACTATAGACTAGACTATAGACTAGACTATAGACTAGACTATAGACTAGACTATAGACTAGACTATAGACTAGACTATAGACTAGACTATAGACTAGACTATAGACTAGACTATAGACTAGACTATAGACTAGACTATAGACTAGACTATAGACTAGACTATAGACTAGACTATAGACTAGACTATAGACTAGACTATAGACTAGACTATAGACTAGACTATAGACTAGACTATAGACTATACTATAGACTAGACTAGACTAGACTATAGACTAGACTATAGACTAGACTATAGACTAGACTATAGACTAGACTATAGACTAGACTATAGACTAGACTAGACTAGACTATAGACTAGACTATAGACTAGACTAGACTAGACTATAGACTAGACTATAGACTAGACTATAGACTAGATAGACTAGACTATAGACTAGACTATAGACTAGGACTATAGACTAGACTATAGACTAGACTATAGACTAGACTATAGACTAGACTATAGACTAGACTATAGACTAGACTATAGACTAGACTATAGACTAGACTATAGACTAGACTATAGACTAGACTATAGAACTAGACTATAGACTAGGACTATAGACTAGACTATAGACTGACTATAGACTAGACTATAGACCTAGACTATATACTAGACTATAGACTAGACTATAGACTAGACTATAGACTAGACTATAGACTAGACTAGACTAGACTAAGACTATAGACTAGGACTATAGGACTAGACTATAGACTAGACTATAGACTAGACTAAGACTAGACTATAGACTAGGACTATAGACTAGACTATAGACTAGACTATAGACTAGACTATAGGACTAGGAACTATAGACTAGACTATAGACTAGACTATAGACTAGACTATAGACTAGGACTATAGACTAGACTATAGACTAGACTATAGACTAGACTATAGACTAGACTATAGACTAGACTATAGACTAGACTATAGACTAGACTATAGGACTAGACTATAGACTAGGACTATAGACTAGACTATACTTAGACTAGACTATAGACTAGACTATAGACTAGACTATAGACTAGACTATAGACTAGACTATAGACTAGACTATAGACTAGACTATAGACTAGACTATAGACTAGACTATAGACTAGACTTAGACTAGACTATAGACTAGACTATAGACTAGACTATGACTAGACTATAGACTAGACTATAGACTAGACTAGACTAGACTAGACTAGATATAGACTAGACTATAGACTAGACTATAGACTAGACTATAGACTAGACTATAGACTAGACATAGACTAGACATAGACTGACTATAGACTAGACTATAGACTAGACTAATAGACTAGGACTATAGGACTAGACTATAGACTAGACTATAGACTAGACTATAGACTAGACTATAGACTGGAACTATAGACTAGACTATAGACTAGACTATAGACTAGACTATCGACTAGACTATAGACTAGACTATAGACTAGACTATAGACTAGACTATAGACTAGACTATAGACTAGACTATAGACTAGACTATAGACTAGACTATAGACTAGACTATAGACTAGACTATAGGACTAGACTATGACTAGCTAGACTAGACTATAGACTAGACTATAGACTAGACTATAGACTAGACTATAGACTAGACTATAGACTAGACTATAGACTAGACTATAGACTAGACTATAGAACTAGACTATAGACCTAGACTATAGACTAGACTATAGACTAGACTATAGACTAGACTATAGACTAGACTATAGAGTAGACTATAGACTAGACTATAGACTAGACTATAGACTAGACTATAAGTCTAGACTATAGACTAGACTATAGACTAGACTATAGACTAGACTATAGACTAGACTATAGACTAGACTATAGACTACACTATAGACTACACTATAGACTACACTATAGAATACACTATAGACTACACTATAGGACTACACTATAGACTACACTATAAGACTAGACTATAGACTAGACTATAGACTACACTATAGACTACACTATAGACTAGACTAGACTAGACTATAGACTAGACTATAGACTAGACTATAGACTAGACTATAGACTAGACTATAGACTAGACTATAGATTAGACTATAGACTAGACTATAGACTAGACTATAGACTAGACTATAAAATAGACTATAGACTAGACTATAGACAAGACTATAGACTAGACTATAGACTAGACTATAGACTAGACTATAGACTAGACTATAGACTAGACTATAGACTAGACTATAGACTAGACTATAGACTAGACTATAGACTAGACTATAGACTAGACTATAGACTAGACTATAGACTAGACTATAGACTAGACTATAGACTAGACTATAGACTATAGACTAGACTATAGACTAGACTATAGACTAGACTATAGACTAGACTATAGACTAGACTATAGACTAGACTGACTAGACTATAGACTAGACTATAGACTAGACTATAGACTAGACTATAGACTAGACTATAGACTAGACTATAGACTAGACTATAGACTAGACTATAGACTAGACTATAGACTAGACTATAGACTAGACTATAGACTAGACTATAGACTAGACTATAGACTAGACTATAGACTAGACTATAGACTAGACTATAGACTAGACTATAGACTAGACTATAGACTAGACTATAGACTAGACTATAGACTAGACTATAGACTAGACTATAGACTAGACTATAGACTAGACTATATGACTAGACTATAGACAGACTATAGACTAGACTATAGACTAGACTATAGACTAGACTATAGACTAGACTATAGACTAGACTATAGACTAGACTATAGACTAGACTATAGACTAGGACTAGACTAGACTATAGACTAGACTATAGACTAGACTATAGACTAGACTATGACTTGACTATAGACTAGACTATAGACTAGGACTATAGACTAGACTATAGACTAGACTATAGACTAGACTATATAGACTATAGACTAGACTATAGACTAGACTATAGACTAGACTATAGACTGCTATAGACTAGACTATAGACTAGACTATAGACTAGACTATAGACTAGCTATAGAGTAGACTATAAAATAGTAGTAGACTATAAAATAGATATAGACTAGATATAGACAAGACTATAGACTAGACTATAGACTAGACTATAGACTAGACTAGACTATAGACTAGACTATAGACTATACTATAGACTATACTATAGACTACTAGACTACATAGTCTAGACTATAGACTAGACTATAGACTAGACTATAGACTAGACTATAGACTAGACTATAGACTAGACTATAGACTAGACTATAGACTAGACTATAGACTAGACTATAGACTAGACTATAGACTAGACTATATACTACACAACTGTCAACTCACTTTTCCTTAACACTGTATTATTTTTTCGATTATTTTTAACCCAACATTAAGTGTTGTAGTTTATTATAATGTTTCTATTTTTCAAAACTGTTTTTTTTTTGCCAAAATATTATTGCAAAATATTTCTCTAACGTAATTTTTTCAAGTTAATTTATAGATTTATTATTTATTTACTCTTTAAGATTTCAGTAGTTACTGAAATCGAAACAAAAAATAAATTATTTATAAAAATAAAATATACAATTATTTAAGCTAAACTAGGAATTAAGAACTAAGACGAAAAGTAAAACCAATGAAGAAATATTAAATTTTGTTTATTAAAATTGGGAATGGGAATTTATGATAAAGTTAAAGCTTTAACCAAATTTATAAGAATAAAAAGCTTACGGGCTGAATTGGTGTGATACAAGTATTGAAAATATGAAATTGGTATTACATTTGCAGCAAACTTTGATGTTTAGTTTAATTGAAATTGATATTATTTAGTTTAATGAATCTGTTTTATTTATATATGTTGTTTTTCTATTTTCTTTACAGAATGGATTCGTAAAGTGCCATCAGGAAAGTTGTCCGCCTATTGATGATTGTTATTTATTGGAAAAGAAAACCTCTGATACGTGTTGCAATAAATGCAAAGGTAAGTGAAGTACTCAAAGGATATCTTTTTCCTTACGAGGAAAAGTTAAAACATGCAAAAACATACTTTTCAAAAAAGCCGATTAAAAGCCGACATTTTTAGAATAAAAAGACCTCAGCAGTTTCAGAAGACAGTCCCGGGCTAGTTATTTAACCTAATACGTAGGGTCTCCAGAAGCTAGCCAATGGGTCACTAGGTTTATTAACTTGGTCATGTCATAGGAGAAAGCCAATTGAATCTTTTGACACAGTAACCACACTGAACTTCGACTGCAAATAGACAACTGGCTCTGCCTTAGTCAACGACATTACCAAAAAAAGTTTAAAATGTCGCCTCTCCCCTTTACCGTGTGTATAGTAATGTACCAACTACTTTCGCTCTCAGTTTCCTACGAGAAAAGGCCTTAAACTGCCTTTGCTCAGATTACGATGAATGTTCTCAGTGACGAATATCCTAATATATACAAGTTAAGGTTAACCCTATGGTCAAACACTATTAACGTCAACGAAAACTCACGGACAATACCTATCGACAACATCCACTCATTTATTTACTTGAAGGCAACGTTGACCAATTGGTTTAGAGAAAATAGGTGTGATCAGAAATCACTACGGGACCTACGGGCTGATTGTGGGATACAATCTCAATTTGTTGTTAGTTGATAGGGATCCAAAGCATATATATATGGTTGCCGTTAGCTGATCGGGATCTATAGAGAAATACAACCAACAGACCTCTACAGAACCGAACATTAGATACCTCCGTTTAGAAGCAAAAACTTAATTACGATGTTAGTCTTAACTTGTTCTTCGCTTACAATTGGATACTCACTCAATTCCTTATAATACAACTAAAGATCCTTAAAAAATATATTTTTTCTCGTATATTTGTAGGTTGCATTTTTCGTGGCATCCCCTATGCCAGTGGCTCGGAATGGACGGACCCCGAAGACCCGTGTAAATCATACAAATGCGTTGGCAGTGTTGTTACCGAAACAATAATGAAATGCTATACGCAGTGTGATGACAGTCAATTGACAAAACCAAAACCGGGAGAATGTTGTCCAACATGTCAAGGTAAGTAAAAGAAGAATCAGATTTATTTCAAAAGCTTGCAAAATGGTGAAACAGTTTATATTAAATTTCTTACACCTCGATATCGATAGAAAATTACTTTATAGGAAAATAACAACTTCTCTGGGTTCCTTTAGAAAACTTGTGCAAAGTATGAATCGAAAGTTCTTAAGGACGATTGCTTGATTCCTTATGATAACCAAACTCGGTCACAAAACTTAGTGCCACCATAATATCTTAGTTGTTGTCTTTGATCATTATACATATAGAACAATTGTGATATTATTTTATTTTCCTTAAATTAAGGCAATTGTATATTGTCTAACATTATTAATATCATGTTTGAACATGTAGCAACTTGTTGTGGTTTTGTTCAAACAAAACCAAAAAAAAAAAAAAAAACAACAACAGTAAAAACTACAACCAACTGAACATAAGAACTACTGTTCTCTATCCCACATAACATGTCTTATTCTCATATTAATTTTCATTGATGTTTAAATAAATATATCATACAGTGTAGGATATTGCATCGACTTTATAATACTCTACTATGACAAAAATGTATCTTCAAAAGTAGACTTTCAAAACGTTTTTCGAAAGTGGACCTTATTTGGGAGCTATGGCCAATTGATCTTCTTTTTAACTTCGTACTAAGATTTCTCAATCTAATTTATATCTAAAGGATGAATTATAAAAGATGGATACAAGTTGTGTAACTGATTTTCGGAAGCCTGTCTGATGTAGACATCTAAAACAAAATGTTCAAGTTTCAAAATCGTCTCCGAATTCAGAATATTTATATAATTTTAGTTGTTGATGGAACAAATATTCTACCCCCACCTTATATATGTAGTGGTGTAGGGTATAAACATATCAACAATTAAAAAAACTATATAAAAAAACAAAAATAAACATTTTTTTTGTGTGGTCCCTGAAATAAGAAGGCCTGTTGCTGTTTAAACAAACACAACCTAAAAAAATACGAGAACAAAAGAAACTTAAGAACAATGAAATCGTGATTTCACCATTGAATGCAACATGATTGAAAACATGACTTTTTTTGTTGTTGTTATTGCTGTCTTATTATCCCTTTTTTTTTAAGAGAGACTTATAATTAACTTAACAACATCAACAAACATGGACGAAAAAATCACAGCAGACATAATATGTTGCTGACTTATTTACTGTTTCCTTGCCGCCTGCAATATTTTGTTTACTTTAATACCCTACCCGGTAATCGGTATTTAAATTAGTTTTACTGTTTACAACATAGACCTTTTAGTAATTAGATTTAGGTACTCGTAAGTGAACTAGTTCGAAAAAGCTCTGATGCTGACGAAGAGTAAGTGTTTACACTCTCTTCAGAGGATATGGTGAGTTCCCACTTAGGGTCATAGTAGACTACATTATAGTATATAGGTTGGTCTCTACCTTACTTGCAAAATGTTGCTGCAAACCCTTCTCTAGAGATCTATGAATGTTTAGAAACTTAATTTTCTGATCGCAGATCCAAGAATTTTCCAATCAGTGTTCTAAAGGATATGATATCTGGTAATAATATTTAGATCTAATTTTCAACGAAAGCCTGACAACGACATAGCAAGTGTTCCACTATTTCACTGTCCCCTTTACATGTTCCAATTTCTTCTGAATACGTTCGGCCATTATTTATTTATTCTGATGAGATCTCTTTTCCTTCATTCTTTGGAATCAATTCATAGGATTTTTGCGGTCCATCCCAAGGTTCCATTACTACAAGTGGCCACATGAGATTCTCTCACTGATGATTTTGATATCCAACTCGTTGCATCGAACGATTTCGCACACGTCAGGTTAACTTCCGTAACTTCCCTACTCCTTATGACATTCCCAATTATCTCCAAGTGCCCTGGTTCATAAGATGCTTCGAACAGTTTAACTTCCTCAAGTTCCCTTCCCTTTATTCACACTTGCATTGCCGATTTTAACCGAGCAAATTGGGATCTATCGGCTATGGCTCTCTTACAGTTCAATACGTTCTTAGTTTTAACCTTATCAACTGATTTCGCCTTAATTTTCCGAAATTATGTTAACCTCTATTGGTGCTACATTCAATTGAGAGAGAGAGCACAGACATCCTTCTGGATGTTTAAATAGAAGGTGGTCAATCTCTGCTCTTATATTTATTCCGCTTGACCACGATCTCCTATCTGGAATCATAATGACCACGATTTCTTATCTAAGTTCAAATATCGAAATGCTTTACGTAAACGCCTATCTTTCAGAACTGGGTGAACTAGAGACAACTCACCACTGCCCACTTATGATCCCCTATCCTTAATCTACTCATGCTATCCATCTCTGACCATGACACTGTTGCGTTACTTCCGAGATGCATAAGCATCGCATTAGTTCACGCAGTTGAAATGGAACAGCAACAGCACCTATAGAGAGAGAGAGCACGGACATCTTTCTGGATTATCGAGGGTGGTGTATCTCTGCTCTTATATTTATTCCGCTTGACCACGAACTCCTATCTGAAATCATAATGACCACGATTTGTTATCTAAGCTCAAATATCGGAATGCTTTACGTAAACGCCTATCTTTCAGAACTGGGTGAACTAGAGACGACTCACCTCTGCCCACTTATGATCCCCTATCCTTGATCTACTCATGTTATTTCAGCTCTGACCATTGCAGCGTTACGTTACTTCCGAGATACATAATCATCACATTCGTTCACGCAGTTGGAATGGAACAGCACCTATAGACATAATCAGTAGATCGAAATACAAATCCATTAATTGAACCAAAGACAAGTTCTTACTCTTAGGGAACAACCCACTGTGCTATGTCTGGTGTGAACAGCGCAACTCCTCAACATACCCTGACAAAGAAGGAAACTTCAATGACGAAATCTGAGTAAGATACCGCACATTCATCACCATTCAACCCAGAACACATATTTAGCCCCACAGTTAGTTTTTGGAACAATATCTGTTGTCTTTTTTATGCCACAGTATCGAACTTATCCCCAATTATAGACCTCATCGTGAAACCAACATTATCTTCCCGCGAGGTCAACTAAGGGATATCACCAATAACCGGCACAAGACAAAACTTTGTCCTGCGGTTCACCGGTTCCAGATAAGTTAGGTGCTCTTGTTCTACCGCGAGTCAAGTAATTCTAGGGAATAGCATAAGGTCCATGCGTTGCCAAATGTTCCATATATGAAGAAAGTTAATTTCGACCAAAGGCCATTTAAACAGGACACATTTTCAAGAGAATCAAAAATGTAACATACACCATAGTTATGAGCAATTATATCCAGTAAAGAGTTCCAATTTCAGAAGTCCTAAAGAATGATTCCAAAATACTTTTGTTTTGCACTTTTAAAGTGTGGAATCTCGCTAAATATATACAAATTAAAGTTTCTGTAAGGGAGATCTTTAGTCCTAATTGTATGCGTAGCTCTTACTCTCACTTTCTGCGAGAAATTATGTAATTTCGAAAGCATGACAAATCACTACACAAACATATATGTATATCTCAAAGTGAAACCTTAAGCGCTATACTTACTCTTGTGAAGAGTTCTAGAAGCTTTTTTTTCTCTATTACTATTCACTATTTCAGGGCTTTTTTTAATACCGATCTCTAATTAAGAACTGATCTTTCAATTCGTCTTAAAAACATTTTATTTCTACAAACCTTATCTTAAGTTTCTTTTATTTAACATTTTCTTATTTCTCTTTTATGCTCAAAAACAAACAAACAAAAAGGTTGCAAGATCAATGGACAAATAGTTTTGGAAGGCCAAGAGGTTGTCGCCTCAATCGATGATCGTTGTTTGGTGTGTCAATGTACGGGTAATCAATTAACGTGCGCCAAAAAAACATGTCCTGTTTTACAATGTCCCATTTCGAAACAGAAACTACTACCCAACGAATGCTGTCCACGTTGTATGGAACAAAGAGAATTTATGCCACTACCAGGTGAGAATGATAATGATTAACTATAAATATAATAATGATATTGAAATGATAAGTTAAAAACTTTTTTATCCTCATCATCCTTCCTAATTACCATTTTTCTACTCTTTGTAGGAAAATGCATTTTTAATCACAAAATTTTCAATGACAAAATCCAATTTATGCCCGATCGCTGCACGAATTGTACTTGCACCAATGGCACTAGTATATGTGAGCGTAAAACCTGCCCTATACTGGAATGCTCGCCAGAGTATCAAGAAATGGATGGTTGCTGTCCACGCTGTATAATATCCGAGGTACGCAGTGAATGCATTTCGAATGGTATTAGTTATCAAAATAATGAAACCTGGAATTTGGGACCGTGTCGTTCGTGTCGTTGTACAGCGGGTAATATACGCTGTTCGGAGATGCGTTTGTCCGGCCATAAAGTGTCGTTCGAATGAGGAGTAAAGGTATTGCCGGGTGAATGTTGTCCCAAGTGTATAGAGACCGCTGGCACTTGTACCGTTTTCGGTGATCCTCATTTCAAAACGTTTGATGGTAAATTTTATAGTTTCCAAGGTTCCTGTAAATATCTGCTAGCTTCCGATTGTCGTGATCATACGTTTTCGATACGTTTGACTAATGATGGACGTGGTACGAATACCTCGTCTTGGACTAAAACGGTTACTTTGAAAATGCGTGGTATACGAGTAAATTTGGGCCAAAGATGAGAGTTAAGGTAAATGGTAGTCGAGTGGTTTTGCCCTATAGCCAGGGAGCCATTACTAGCATAGAACGTTTAAAGGAGAGCATAATATTGAAAACAGAGCTGGGCTTGAGTATAGAATGGGATGGCAATAATTATTTGCAAATCATGGCCCCCTCTTCCTATAAACGTAGACTATGTGGCTTGTGTGGCAATTATAATGGTTTGGCCCGTGATGATCTCACCAGTCGTGATGGTGTTAATCACACTGAGGTATGGCGTTTTGCCAATTCCTGGAAAGTTGGCGGGTCCCAAGGCCTGTTCACGTAAAAAAGAGAACATAGCTGTACAACCCATCTGCAAACAGAGAAAAACCAATGCCTTGTGTCGACCCCTGCGCATAGCCGAAGTATTTGGCAATTGTAATGATCGTTTAAATCCCAACAACTATATCGATTCCTGTAAAATGGATGTTTGCGAGTGTCCGGATGGCATGTGTCATTGCGATAGTTTTGCCGCCTATGCCCGCGAATGCCAACGTTTGGGTGTCACTTTACCTGATTGGCGTTCTTCTACCATGTGTCCGTATGGTATGTGGAAAAGAGATTTTAATACCACACTTTATCTCCTGCAGGATAATCCCTACTATGGTGACTTGAGTTTTCTACGCAAACCCCTGGCTAACCAGAGAGGTGCGCGTAAGCACAAGAAAGCTCAACATAATTACAATGAAATCCAAAGGAATTTCATGACAAACATGTACCGAAAGTTCTATTAACATCGAAGACTCCAGAGCGTACACCACTACCATTGCATTGAGCGGCAAAGCGAGAGAGAGATACGCAGATAAACTAGGTGTAAGCGTTTTCCGTTGGGAAAGAAGAGAAAAAAAGCGTTACGGTTTTGTTAACTATACTCTATTGTAATAATTTAAAATTTAAAAGAAAATAGCTATAGATCAAATTTTATAACAATTTTCTCTTGCTATTATTAAGGAGCAAAGAAATGGCTTAATTTAATACTCTTAAGTTCTCTCAATGCTGCTAAACAAAGAAGACTCTCTTTCGTTTGTTAATAGCGCTCTGGTGTGATTAAAAGAAACTTATTAAAATCCAGAGAGCCTCTTTTTAAAACTATAAAGCAGAGGTAGGCAAAGACTTCTCAAAATGTATGTTTATGACTATCGCTGCTTAAAGAGAGAGAGAGAGAGTGTATACGTGTTTCGAATAACAAACATTCTACTTCATTAAGAGATGAAATTTGATGAAACAGCGATAGACAAAAAGTTCTCATAAAGCTCTCTTGCAGTCAGAGAGCAAATTTGCTTTACTCTCTGCCTATCATTGCTTTAAATGTTAAAAATTGCAAAGTCATTACTTTTCTCTTAAATATTAAAACCCCAAAAAAGAGAAATATTATTTTTTTTATTGTAATAACCCGATTATTAAGAGCATATTGCTTTTGTGTATATTTCTTTTTTTATATAATTTTATTTTAATTTTTTTTGTTTAGCTTTTAATTATTTAGGTTTTTTTTGTAGAAAATATTTTGTTTTCTTTTGTATACATATTTTTCCTGAAATGGCTCTTATTTCATAAACAACATTCTAAATGTGATTCTAGCTTTAAAAAAAGAACTTAAAAAAAGCTTTTTGTAACAAAAGCTTATTTAAAAGCTTTTTTCAAAGGGCTCTTAAGCTACTATCTAATTAAAAAAACTTATTCATTGTTTTCAAACTGCTCTCTTCCATGATCTTTAACTAACTATCTTAACTCGGCTACTCTTCACCACCATTCGATCATTATTAACACCAAAGCTTTTGTAAAGCTTTGCACCACTATTCCTAAAATAAGAGCCATTCAATTTCATTGAATAAATTTAAATTATTTCTAAATTTGAAAAAAATTTCGTAATAAAAGAAATTAAACCTAAAATAGATCTCAATTATATTAAAAATATTATTTTTATTATTATTTTTTTTTTTTTAATTTTAATTATATTTTAGTTATTGCATTAGTTTTCTAATTATAAACAAAACGCATGCAAAAACAACCATTCATTAAACATTCCATTTACATATACATAGAACAATTTAAATAGAAATATTTCACAAAATTAAAGATCAAAATTATAGGCAATTTAAAAGAGCTTTTATATGAATATGAAAAAAAGCTTTCAATAGATTCGTTTAAGAAAAGTCGACTAGTAAGTTTAAAAATTTAAAAGCTTTTTAATAGAGTAACCCAATATAAACTATGCTTTGTAAAGCAGATATTCGCAGTTTAAAAGCCTTAAAATGCAGCTAAATTAACTTAAGATAAGCTAGAGAAAGTAAGAAAGCTTTGTTGGTTAAATATTTAAAAACTTCATCCTAATCAAATGTTTTGCCAAAACAGATTATTGCAGTTTAAAAGCTATAAAAATCAAGCTGAATTAAGTTAGAAAGATTTTCGTTTAAAAGCTTTTTAAGTTAAATACTTTGATACTTACTCTAATAAAATGTTAAAAATCATATCTTAATAAGCTTTTATTAAATAGTTCTATAATATTTGCGAGCTTTAAAAAAAAATTATTTAATTAAGATAAAGCTCTGAACAAAATAACGGCATCTTTCCGCAGTTTTAAAAGCTCTTAAATCAAGCTTAAAAACAATTCAATATAAACTTTACAATGTACAATCGATTTTTGCATTTTATTAAAAGCTTTCATACTAAGACAAATTAGCTGAATATAAACTAAAGAAAGTACAGATTAAAAGCTTTCTTTTTAAAGTTCAATATTTATGAGATTTTTTATAAAAATTTGATTTAAATTGAGATTAAACTCTGCACAAATGAAAAAAGCTTTAAAATAAAGTTACGTTAAATCAAGATAGTTTCAAAGTTTAAAAGCTTTCAGAGACAAAACTTCCCAATCACTTCTTTCTGAATAGTTCTTAATAGGTATTGCAACGTGCGACCAAGTGTTGTCATTGTGGAATACTACTCTTTCATATCTGACCCTTTTTCGGTCAATGTTCCCTTCAAACGGATCAGTTGCATTCGGTATAGGTTGCCTGTGATGGTGTGGTCAGATTTCAGCATCTCTTAATAGTTAGGAACCTTTTGTCCCATCAAAAGAATTGCTCATCTTTAGAGGGCAAGAAGGAATCAAACCAATTTCAGTGTATCCTGTTCTGAAGTGAAACGTCGGTCTGCATAGAACGAAACAAATAATAGTTTGACTTGGAGAAGTTTGGACTTCAAGGCGCGTGAGACAAAACTTCATAATCACTTCTTTCTGAATAGTTCTTAATAGGTATTGCAACATGTGACCAACATTGTGGAATATTACACTTTTATGTCTGGCCATTTTTCGGTCATTAATCGCTTTAAACGGATCGGTTCAGGTTCCCTGTGATGGTCTGTTCAGATTACAACAACTCCTAATATATAGGAACCTTTTAGCCCCACTAAATACAACGTATTGCCCTAGAGCAATGGACATTTAGCTTTGTTGACGATTCGGCTTGTTAGTCGGGTTTCACATACTATTTCTTACGTTTATTCGGCTTATTGTTCGGACAAGCAAACTTGTTTAACAAGGTCTCTCGGTTTCAATTCGTATAGAACCCAATGTTTCTGTTGTGATATGAATCTTTCTGCTCCCAATAGTTTTGAAATTGCTGCTTCAGTAGAGCTCGTGTTTCATAATTTTAATGCCTTCAATTCTTGGTCTGCAAAGCCTAGGCGATCTATGTATTCAGAATCTACTTTTCAGAAATATCTCTAGCTTATTAAAACCGCTGAAACATATTCATCAAAAAGTTCGGTAAGCAATCCGATGGCTTTTGCGGCAAAGTTCCCTTCACATGACTTTGTTTCTTGAACCAGGTCCATTTCTTCAATTGTTTAAAAAGGCATTTTATTATATTTATATATCCCAATCCACTTTTCTTATTGAATAACTAGACAAAACCGATCAAAAGAGGTGTTAATCACATTGAAGGATCATAAACGACTCGAAAATGTTTAAAAATATTGATTGTGTTAAGACTGTGTTAAATCAAGGTTTAGAACATTTGTAACCCTTAAGCCTATAATTTTGACCTTTAATTTAGTTTAATAATTTAGCTAAAATTACTTAAAAAAAAAAAAAACCACAAGACTCGATATAAACTAATAATAAAGCGATAATAATTTAAAAAACTATTAAACAATAGGCCATTAACTAAAAGAAAAAAATACACTGAAAAAAAAAGAATCTTAAAAATCAAAAATATTCACCTCATAAGCCTTATTTATTTTCATTTAGCAATTAAGCCAGAATTAAACTAAATTAAAAAAAAACTTTATAAATTTAAACTTATATATAAAACTAAGCCTTAAAAATTAAAAACAAAAAAAAAACTAGATAAACATTCTCATTGTGGTATAAACTATTTATAAATATTAATAACTATTACCTATAAAATAAGTTTAAAATAAAATTTAAAATATATTTAATTTTATATAAAAAAACTTAGTTTTTTTTCTTCTTCTATATTAATAAATATTTTGCACAAACAGTATTTTTTGCTTAATTATACTTTAAAGAAATGTATTTTATATAATTTTTTTATTTTAAGTTTTAGCCAATACTTTTTTTTAATTATATTAAATAAACTACTTAAATAATAAATCATAAAAAATAACACTTAAATGTTAAATTTAAAATAAATTAAATTAAAGAAAATAAATTAAATTAAATGCAACCAACAGCCATATTACTTAAACAAATTATTGAAAATAACAAAAAAAAAAAATAAACAATTTTGCATAATTCCACTTAAAACTAAAAATAAAACGCAACTTGTAAAGTTCAAAAAAAAAAAACTTTATTACAAAAAAAAATACCTACAATAATAACAACAATATAAAAAAACAAAAAATGAAAAACAAACTATTTTACTTAAAATATTTAAATAAAAACAAATAATTATAAAACAAATAAAATATATTTGTGTTTTTGTTTTTTCCCCCTCCTTTTATATTCACTTTCTTAACTTTAGCTTGAAAATATTAAAAGAAATGCAATTGTAAACTTTTAATGGAAATTCCATTTATTCAAATTAAAAAGAAATCGAAATTCATCTACACTTTAATAAAAAAAAAAAGATAAAAGTCCAATAAAAAAACTATTATAATAAAAAATTTTAAATTAATGTGGTCGTTTTATTTACTAATAAAAGGGAAGAAAGTTAGACTAGAGTATAGAGTACAATATAGTCTATACTTTAGACTCTACTATAGACTAGACCCTAGAAAAGACTATAGACAAGACTCTAAACAAGACTATAAACTTAACTATAGACTACACTATAGACTAGACTATAGACTAGACTATAGACTAGACTATAGACTAGACTATAGACTAGACTATAGACTAGACTATAGACTAGACTATAGACTAGACTATAGACTAGACTATAGACTAGACTATAGACTAGACTATAGACTAGACTATAGACTAGACTATAGACTAGACTATAGACTAGACTATAGACTAGACTATAGACTAGACTATAGACTAGACTATAGACTAGACTATAGACTAGACTATAGACTAGACTATAGACTAGACTATAGACTAGACTATAGACTAGACTAGACTAGACTAGACTAGACTAGACTAGACTATAGACTAGACTAGACTAGACTAGACTAGACTAGACTAGACTAGACTAGACTAGACTAGACTAGACTA